GGAATATGTGGGCCAGTGACTTCAACGTTTCCGTCAAATAGCTTCAGCTGCTCCAAGTTTGATGAGAAGGAAGCAGGCAAAAATCGGGCCAACACCGTTCAAAAAAAGCTTATACCGAGACTCAAAGTACCTCGGAAAATGGGTACAGTTGCACCTGTTTTGTAGGGTAATGTCTCATTTACTTTGGAGGGTCCGGGTACTTCTATCCGCAGAGAACCCCTAGATATCTAGGTGACTTGCTCACAGACCTTGTGCGGAAGCAGCTTTCCAAGGCCTGGTCATCCTCTCCTTGTCAGTGAACAATGAAGGCTTCCTACTCACCCAGGACCGAGTGTTTCGGGCTGTGGCATATGGTGGGATAAGTAAAGCGTCTCCCAAGCTTGTCCTTAGTTTTTGGAGAAGCTTGCAGAAAAAAAACAGCCGACCTCAAAGCTTATAAAACCATGATAAGACTGGTTTGATCACTGGTCCGTCCCTTCTGTTGAGGCAGTAGCACATTGATGCGCCACCCCATGTGGGGGGGGGAAGGTGAAGGTGGGTATGATCTCTCCTCATCTCCGCTCTTGTGGCTTGGCCCACCCAGGAGGAGGAGAAGTTGCAGCAGATCGAACAGCACTTCTTAAAGCACGTGAGGAGAGCAGAGATTGTCAGAGCGGGCCGAGCGTACAGCGAGAGCTGGGGTGAAAGCTAGGGAGGTGCGCTGCTGGGTGGTACGTGGCACGCCTGCGCCATGTCTTCGACATGGAAAAGTAGAAAAGCTACAGAAATGGTCAACCAAGCAGACTAATTACGTAGATGTTCACATCCAACTCACACTTAGGTCATTTCTTGAACATGAAAAGAGTAATTTCTCCCTTTGCTGCCTAGACCCCAGATCAACCATTGATCAATCCTTGGGCAGTTCTATATGTCGTATATGTTCTATCCTCACGGTAGAATACCCGCGGCCAGGATGACGGTCAAGGAGCTGCGCGGGCGCTTGAACGCCTCGGCACGCTTGGTGTTGGCTGGGCCCTATGCCAACGATGGCTACAGCCCGCGGCTTTGCTGCGAGTTTTTCGGGAGGCAGTTGGAGGGCAGAGCTGGCTCACCTTTTGGTGTTACTATATCCCCATTTCCAGTTATCAGTGACCAACATACTAGCTGAGCATGGGCTGTTTCTTTTGTTCTTTAAATGGAAGTCCGAGCTGAAACAGGTGGCAGTGCAGCAGTTCCGGGTGCTTAGATCTATTCTGCGGTTGATTGGAGAGAAACTGGTAATTGACACCATTGTTGTTCCTATCAAAACCATTGGCTCCTAAGACACAGTTCCAATGACCCTAACCTCAGCAGCTTGTTTGGCTCAGGCTCCATGGGACGACATCATTAAGCGTCTTGCAGGAGTCTACGGGGAAATGCTTCGCAATTTGGGAGCGTGAAGAAACATATGTTTGTCTTATCTATCAATGCACATGGGTGCGAAAGACCATCGGTTTAGGTGACCAACGCAGATATACTGTCAATTCATGAATTTGAGACCTTTGATCTTGAGCAACAAACTACCACATAGATCTTGGGTGCTTCCAGACATCTCCGTGCGACGTCTTGTTTGGCCAAGCCCAAGCCTTTCTTCCGAGGAAACACTTCTCCGTGGTCCAGGATATCAAATCGCAGATGTCCAAGTGGGAGGAGGCAGAGAACCCCCACTCCATGGGACCTATAAAATATATAGAAACTGCATTGGAAGCGGCTGAACCAATGTGTGCAAATATGCCATATATATATATATACATGAGTTGTTGCTTTTACTCCGGAAGATGTTCTGAAGCGGCTGAACCAAGACATGGTCAGTGAACATGAACCACCCTTGCAATGGCTGTCCTGAGTTGGTCTAAGACTCTGGGCTTTTGATCTTTGAACTTGCATGGTCGGTCTCATGAACCCATCTAATTTGGACCCTCACACCCAAGAGGCTGAGATATATGGCATCCAAACATCACTGGGGCCGAGCTACACCTCCCCAACTGGGAATCGCTACTACGGCGAGGTGGTCCATGTGACAGTCTCCTCAACGGCCCTCAAGTCAGTCGCCAAAAGGTTCCCTCATGTTTTTTTTTCCAAAATGCTACATGAAAGATCATGACCCTCCAAGCCTACATAAATAGTCTCCAATCACCGAACCTCAGGTTCGGTATGTGGATCCATAGGGGAAAGAAGACGCTGCGAGTTTCCAGACGGCAGGTCAATCATTTCATCGATTTTCTGCAGGCCGGGGGACTGGCGGAGGAACCGTGGGAGACTTGAATGCTTGACCCAAGAAGCATTAAACCATCACCAGGACCTTCAAAGTGACCTCTTTGGAGTCTCTAAGTGATCATTTATCAGAAGATCACTCTGAAGGTCCTGGAGAAAACACACACATCAAAAAAACATTTGCTGACGCAAGGTTGGGCCGAGGTGGTTCCTCCATGTTCTCCTGAGGATGAGGCTGAGTTTGTATAACTTCTTCCATTGAACTGTAATTATTTCGATAGCTTTAGGGGCCTCAGTCGTCCACCTACCAGCTTCTTCAGTTCGTCACCGAACTTGAGAGCCCCAGCCGCCCGTGACCCTAGGTGAAGCTTTTGGCCACCCTGGGTCAAATGGACGAGCCAGGTGATTAGATAAATGTGCTTCATGATGCTTCATGTAGTTCCTGGTGACAAGTCCGGGACCCCCAACAAAACGATCGGTGATAGTGACCAAACACTAGCAAACACTAGCATCTTGCAGGGTCCTTCCCCTATCCACCGAAACTCCGTGCTCATGATGCTGCAAAGTAGTTCTTCTTGCCCACCAAAAAGGTATAGAACATCTCCGAAGCCTTTGGGAAGTCGTTCCATCTAATCTTTTTCTCTGCAGACCTATCGACATCCCTATGACATCGGTTACAGCCACCAATCGTGGCCGTTTTCGTGTGGATGTCCCATGTGAGGAGCCTGCATGTGATCTGAAGGGTCACTGGCCCAGCGGCTACTCTCGATGCTCGACTGGAATCGTAAACGAAGTCAAGAGGTGATCAGAAGGGAAGGAATTCAATATAATAATGCAATACAAACATATTAAATCTTTCTCACTGGCTTTTCTAACACGGTCCAATGATAGCACCACACTCTACACGCATCCAATAATTGATCATATTATATTATATATATCAAGTATTTTTAGGTATTTTCAGCCATTCAGCATACACCCGGGCCTGAAGTGGAGAACTCACCTGGGCCTACTGGGTCGTCTCCACCGGACCCAGGAGATTTTGCACATCCCAACAGCTTGGGACATGAAGGCGCGCTCCCGCATGCGCGCGGAGCCCCGCGGGGGGGGTCCCCAGCCGAGCCGACCCCTGAGAGCAGGTCTCCCAGACATGGAAGATTTGCCGGAACCCTTGACCCCTTCTCAACCACCCCCTGACCTGATGCGCCAATATGCCAGTCCCATGGATGGTTTGGAGTACTGCACTTGGGTTCCAGTCGACCGTGGCAGCACTCCGGGTGGGTGGAACGACCGGGCCAACTGACATGGGCGCAGCTCAGCGATCTTCGACATGCACCATGGAAAAACAAAAAACAAAACGTGAAAATTGTCAGCACATATGTTAAAAAATATGTTCAAAGTGTCATGATCAAGTTTTCCACCTACAGCATGAACCGGGCCCACTTGCTTGTTTGTTCAAACATGTCTTGGAAGAAAAGGTGGTTCAATAATGTTCAAAACATGACAGAAATACTGACACCTTCACATGTGTGGAGATTCAAGCATGTAAAACATGTTATCACGAAAGCTAGCACCAGCTAGCTGGAGTTGTCCTTGCTTTAGCAAGTGAGGGGCTGGAATCCTCGGGATCGCCGCATCACGTGAAAACTTCCCCGTGGGTTCAACTCCCCCCTCGGACGCCTCTGGGACACCTCTCGGGCATCTCTTATGGCATCCACTTTGGCTTAACTCCTCCGGGATACGGTGCAACAGATTCAACAAGCTCACAGGTTCGTGAACACATCGGATGCATCGAACAGTGTGGCAAAGTCCAGCCACGCTTCCTTAATTGTCGGGGACTTCAATTCGAAGGTTGGCTGTGTCATTGCTGTTTGTGTGTCTTACATGTTCACAACGTTTTACCTCATGAGCATTTGCCTCACTCCGCTTGATGTCCCACCAGTCCGGATGCACCCCTGCTAGCTTTCGTCACCTACCCTCGGCCTCAAGTACTGCAACAACTGACTGTGTCTCCGTGTCGCCTGTTCTTGCTCCTCGCTTGTTCCGCATGATTATGCGCGCAGGCCTCTTCAAGTGCATGGATCTTCCATCCATCTTCGGTGACTTCTGGTAATTCATGGCCCTCCAGTCTCTCAGCCAGAAGTTGCTGGGAGTGTGAGCCTCTACGAGGTTTCACCTTGAAAACAATAAAGCAACCGGAGCAGCAAGCGTGACCAGTGCTCACCAGGAATCCGTAGTAATCCGTAGTCTCTTGATCCAAATTGTCAGGTTGAGGATGTCCTTGGCCTTAGCTCGACCATTCTTTGGAACCCTGGAGCTTCGAGGTGGTGGGGGTAGGTTTGCGTGGCCTATTGACCTTCTGAGGATGTGGGACAGGAGCCCTGGGGGAAGTATGTACTCACCCCCTTCGACCCGAACGGGAGGTACCTGGGCTCGAAGGCGCTGATACCTGCGTTCGCTGGCAGCGCCTTCCCGTCCCCGACAGTCCGCTGTGGAATCTTATGAAAAGGGACAGGTTTCGGACATGCCCGGACTCATGCGGAGCAGGAATGGAACATTCAGAACACTATATAGGGTCAAGATAGACCTCAGCAAGCAGCGATTGAGCAAGTTTGGGACACGGATATCGCTTTGGGAATCAACTTAACAGGTGTTTGTTTCTACCCAGTTAGCAATGTGTTTCTTGGTTCAAAGAAGTTCAAAGCTTTTTTGATTCCGTCGTTCTCCCACCCACTTGTCCGACCTGTCCACCCACCCACCTGTGAGAGGAGCTGGATATTGAATCCTTCGGTGGGATGCCTAAGGAGCCACGCCTTCACGATGCGCTGCCGCGTCTGCGTCGGCCTGAACCATTCTAGATTGCCCATATCTCATAGCCCTGGGTGCTACGAAGCACAGCTCAGATTTTGCTTGTATAGACCGTTTCATTGACTCAGCCACCTCCCGAGTGGGGAAGGTACTTTTGGTAGTCACGACTACAAGTGCAGACAAATTAGTGGGTCAAACTTAGTGAGACCCCCAGTTGACCATCGATCGCCAGGTAAACGGAACTATGTCGCGTTGGTAAAACCCAGGGCCTCTGTGAAACGGGGTGCATATCTGGACCCGACTTCAAGTACAGAGAAAATGGGACATCACTCATGACCCTGTAAAACAGATAGAATTGCACCCGTAGAGGTACTGGAACCCTACTTTGAGAGGTATATTACATTGGCCCCTTTTCCCGGCGGGGTGTCCAACGATCTGCCACAACTCTCAAAGATGGACATGGCCTAAGGGATCTGAATGCTTCTGGACCGGAACAATCGGCCCCGATATCGGCACCGATATCCGGTCTTTGAGGTCGAGGGACGGGTCGGTCCTTTTGGGAGCGGGAGCCAACGAGAATACCGAACTGCCTCACTACACAGACAGGTTGGTAGCAAGCCTGGAAAAACAGGTCCCCCAGCCGTTCCCCTGCGAATTCTACGGATCACATGGGCATTGCGGAAGAGCTTCCACCCCAAAGTAACTTTGCTGTATTGTAGTTCGGGGTGACAATTCCTCGGCCGGAAATACATTAATTAATGGAATGGAAAGGAGGAGCCCTTATTTCAATATATAGATTGTTGAGAAAGACTGTTACCAAACTTTCTTCCTAAAGTAGGACATCCAATGTAGGCTGAAAAGGACAAAAACAAAAGCTGACTTTGGAGCCAACCAAGCATCAAGCGGAACATGTGTGTTGGATGGCGCCAAAGCAATCCATGAGACTGGAAGATTTGCTGATCAGTTGGGGCGGTCTAAGATGTTTTAAGGATCAAATGATTAGAACATCTTAGACCGCCCCAACTGCTCCCATTTGATCCTCAAAACAGTCCCATTTTGGGGGCGGTCTAAGTGATTCCAGTCCCAGGTCCCATGCATTGTTGGGAGTGTACAACTGAGAACATGTGTCCAGTCCCATGGCGGCCGACTGAGACGAACAAAACCACCTCCCCAGCGACGTCCTCATGCCTTTGGACCCGACTTTGGGCGACTCGAGTGGCAGGACTTGGGGGAGGAGCTCTATAGGCCGGGGGGGGCCTTCTTCTTCTTTCTGCAAGAAGGATCGATTGACACGCCAGGAAACTGCGGCTGTTTATTATTACCTCATTTTGGAAAGACTACTAACATTCGATCCAGATCACATACACCAATGAAATTCTGGCGGGGGGGCAGTCCGGCAACCTGCCTGGACACCTTGAAGTCGGGCCCCGCGTTCCGCACCCGTGCGCTGTCCCTCCTGGGCGTCAGGCCTCGGCTGCGACCCTGTGCTTGCGGATGTGGACAGATGGTCTTAGGGGACGCTTGGTTTTGCTTTAGGATATCTTTTGATTTGTGCCGGTTCCTGGATCTCCAAACCTTTTGGGAAACGGTTTTCCTGGACCCAACTCCAAGTACCCTAGAACATGGGACAACAGGTACTTGTACCATCTTGTACCCATTTTCTGGGTTAGGTACGAACTGAGAGTCGAGTTTTTTTTTTGGCCATCGCTGCCGCTAGTAGGTTGGAGGCCATCGCGAATGACTGCCAAGAGAGGTTGAACAGCCTTAAAGCTCATCCCATATATGTACCACTACAGGGACCTATATGGTCTCTCAACCTCTCTTGGTGTATGTCCAGGTTGATGTTTTTCCGGGCTTCCTGCACATCCAAGGAATGGACCTGTGATGGTGAGGCGCGACGTCTGGGAGCGGGAGGGAGCGGTGGACGGCATAGTGATCAAAAAACAATTCACCAAGCAACAAACATATTAGCACATATCAATAATAATAAGATTTGTTTGCAAAAGATGCCTTACTAATCAGTGCCTATTAATCAGCTGGTCCCTTGCTCCCTTGGTCCCCTGGTCCTTTGGTCCCCTCCTGGTCCTTTGGCCTTTTGGTCCTTCCAAAGTAGCACACCTTTTGCGAGAAACGAGATTTAGACGAGAAAGGGACCATTGCCATGCAGCATACTTTTTGTGAGCAATCCGAGGGTAAAATTTGGAGGAGAAAGGCGACACATACCTTTTGTAAGCCTCCTGCAGGTAACACTTGACTGAGGAAGGTGCCAAATTGAGCATACCTTTTGTGAGCCACTCGAGCATAAAGTTTAGAGGAGGAATGTGCCATTCCAATGTCACATACCTTGTGTGGGCCGCCTGAGGCTAATATTTAGAGGTGGAAGGTGCCATTCCAAGATAGCATACCGTTTGTGAGTCTTGAATTTAGAAGGGAAGAGGCTATTCCAAGGTAACATACTTTTGTGACCCACCTGAGGGTAAAAGTTAGACTAGCATATACCTTTTGTTAGCCGCCTGACAGCCATGTTTTCAGGAGGCAAATCCGATTCCAAGGTAGCATGTAGCATACCTTCTGCGCATTTTAGAGCGAAGACTGACGAGGTACGAGGTGAACCTTTTTCCAGCTGCGCAAGCCATTCCAAATGGCTAGTGTGAAGGTAGTTCTGCAGCCACGGCTGGGATGGCCATGGCAATTTGAGGATGGGCGCCTTTCAACCACTTTTGGCGAAATCCTAGACGCCTATATGCCACAGAACGCCAACGGGTGGCACTCCAGCTGCTACAGCATTTGGGTGGGAGATCAGTTGGTCCGTCGTGACAAGGCTTTGTCGGACGTGACAAATGGTTCAATCGGTCTGGTTGTTTGCACCCTCCATACACCTGATGATACGGCTGCTCAGAAAGTTGCCAAGTGTCTGGTTTGCTGCAGAAGCAGGTGCAAGGAGATGTTCCCAAAGACTTGCTTTTTTCCAGCCGCCTGGCTGCTGAAGTACTTTTTGAAACTAGGCGATCACGTTGGACAGCCATTTTTTGAAAAAAACAAAGCTCACTCAAGGTGGGCTGGTGAAGCTGGGTGTGACACCGCAGATGTCAGCTCGTGTTGGGGCATCATTTCTGGAGATGTTTCCTGTACAAGGACAAGCACTCATGATCTGATTCCCCACCAACTGAGTGTAATAACAATGATGTTGTGTTTTTAGGCCGTCCTGACACCAAATTGGGAAAACTTTTGACACCTCCAAAAGTTTTTTTCCAATTCTGAGAGCCCATGGGATTGAGGGAATATTTGGGCGTGGCAACACCGCCTCTCATTGAGCAACATCTCCTCGTGAACTCATGGGGCCCAAGCCCAGCAACCAAGAATGTGACTCTTTGGTTTCAAAGAGCGTTGTGACCTTCATGGCAAAAGAACGAAGGCTTGCCACACAGGGTGGGCCGCTGATTTCCAAGAAAGATCTTCGCCTGAGGAGGGACAAAGGCGCAAATACTACACTAGAAAAAACAAGTGTGCTCCGAATGCTCGGTACCTTGCTCGAAATGGCTCGGCCGCCATCAATTTGGAGGAGCCGCCTCCAGATGCTGCCCGTCCTTCCGTCTTAGACAAGATGAGCCCTCGAACAGAGGAAGAAGGAGGCAGAGGACTAGTTCGAATGGCTTGCGGTCGGGAAAGAAATGATAGCGTTGGGACGAGGACTGAAGCCCGCTTTGAATTTAACGAGGCGAGGACTGCAGATTTAGTCCGAGGTGAAAAAGGTAGGTTTAAGACGAGGGAAAAGTACACTGACCAGATACCTTTTGTTTTGGGAGCCCCTCGATGGCAAAATTTACAGGAGGAAGATGCCGTTTCAATGTAGCATACTATGACTGCTACCACTACTACTACTACTACTGCTACTACTGCTACTACTACTACTACTACTACCACTACAACTACAACTACAACGACTACCGCCAGGGAACCACGGGCCCAGCTGAGTTAGTCATTGTTTTTTTTTCATTTTTTGATAGCTCACCCGCGGTGGACGTCAAAAAGGGAACCGCAGTTACGTTGCAAATGACCTTGCACGACTTGGAAAATAATGTCATGCAGTTCAGGATCCCCAAGACAGCCACTCTACACGTCCGAGATTTCTGGCAAGCACCGGTGGAGACCGGGTTTGTGGTCGGAAACCAAACCCCAGGAGGTCGGTCTTCCTTTTTTTTGCGGATCCACTGTGTTAGGATGGCCCGGCCTGACTGATTTTGAGGGAGACCGAGATGATGAAGCGGACGTGTTGCATCCCCAGACCATCCACAAGACTGGACTTCGTACACCGGAACATGGGTACAAGGACCTGTTTCTTATAGGGTCATGTCCCATTTTTGGGGGTAGTGTCCAGGTGCTTTGACCCCTGAAATCAACCCGAACCGACGGGGGAATCATAGATTGTTTAGGAATAGGAGCTAATCATAATTAATAGAACAGCATGTCCACTTTGCAGTTCAAACGAATGAAGAACACCCATGGATTTTTAATTTTCATGACATTGTAAACCTCTATGGCCTATGTAGGTATGCCAATCTCCCATCCAATCCCTATGGATTCTTTTGGGATCATGGCTGAAACATCGAACCCGACCCTCGCAGATCGCACCTTTGCGCTCCAGTGACGTGCACGCTGCCGTGGCCCGAAGCGCGCCCCAGGCGTGCACGAAAAACCGTGGTTTCGGAGCAACGAGGTGTTTTTGAAGCGGGGAGGATTCAGAAATGGATGGATGGTAAGCATCTAAAGATGTTTGGACATGTTTTGGTACCACAAAGAAGGAAAAACTTATGGACATGTCACTATACTATTGTTGAACTCCGGTGCCCGATTTTGACAAAATGCTGCGAGTTTCAGCACTGATTCCTCTCATGCTCAGGTTTGAAATGGGTGCATGCAGTCGTTCCCTTATTTTTTCTATGGTCATCATCCAGCAGTTCCATGGAGTTGGGTGCCTATTGGAGGGTACTCAGCATTCGCTCAGATGGTACAGGTACCCTTGGGTACCCTATACAGCTGCTCTTGCAGTGACTGACGATCCAAAGGGGAATGCCTTTGGCCAAACTTGGAGTCACAGCGTTCCAATGGCATGAGTTAGTGTTCCTGAGATCATCCCACCTCATCCAAGCACCAATCTCCAGACTCCAGCCCATGAAGATTTGAGAAGGAGCTCGCACCTAGTGCTGGTGCTGGGATTTTGGTTGTACCAATCTGTATAGACCTGGTGAAAGAACAGCTGGTAGAACAAAACGGATTCTCGGTGCCAGAGGCTCCATTTTTCCTTTGGAATGTTGTACCAACTGAGCTGATTTGAGCTCTAAAGACCCTCCCGTATCTCAGCCCTGTTGGGGTTCGCCACCAGAAACTTGTATTTCAACCTGAGCGCCAGATGAGCCTTGCCGAACAGCAAGCTTCCGTGGCACGGCTGACGCGGCGCAAGACCCCGACGACGTCGCCGTCGGCACAGCACCTGGGACATGGGCAATGGACCGGGGATGTGGCGATTGCTCAAAGATATCAGACCCAGGAACCCGCCAGGTTTTACCACGACGGCTTTCTTTTTCCTTTGGCTTTCGATGAGCAGGTGAGCCAGGTCTTTTGTGGAAGCAGGGGGTCGGGTGGAGAATGGAAAATGGAAAGCAACAGTTCGTTTGTGGATGTATTCGCAAAACACAACAAAAACAGTGTTGCCAGTGGTTCAATGATCAAAGAGCATTTGTTGCCAAAGACTGAAACCCTTCTCACGGTTTATGAGGCAGTGGCAGTGGAGAAGAACCTGTCCACCAGAAGTGGCTTGAGCAGTTATGCTGAAATCCAAACAAATCCACACCTGTGGGAGGAATAATCCAACTGAAAACTTGCAACTCCAGGGTCTCGATATTCGATTTTCAGCTCTTAAATCTTGACCTTTCCGGGACGCCCCAACCTGTGGTGTGGTTCTGGTTCACTATTTGTTCAATATAGACCGTGGCTGAGAACGTCTTGGACCTGGTTCACCCGGAACATCGGTCAACCGTATCTGGTGGATGGGGACGCCCAGTCAACCGGTCGACCGTCAGGCGGACGGTGGTTTCCAACGGTCCGATCTGATGTAGGCGGTTGATGAACAACACATGTGCCAGCACCATGCACGTTCTTTGCCACAGCTTGACAAGAATTGCGGCCGGAGGTCTACTAGGTTGGAGGTGATTGCTAGTAGGCCGGATGTCATTGCTATTAGGAAGAAGTTTGAGATACGTACAACTCCTTGTTTGTTTGGTCCCATGACGTTTTCAAGACTCGAGGTCTCGACACTGAGGGTAGTCGATCCAGCGGTCGATCCACTTGTCGATCCTGTTCCGGTTTTGAGGTGATTCTTTTGACCGGAAACTCCATGTGTGTCATATACTGGGTCATGTCCCATTTTTCTAAGGTACTGGAGTGAGTGTCCAGGTATATGCCGATCAATTGACCCGATCTTCAACCACTTGACCGGCTTCCATACACGGAGTGTCTGTGATGCGCAGTCCAAGAGCTCCAACTTCATGTGCATCACGGTCCAAGCACGTTATGGCACGTTTGAACTGCATGCGCAGTCGCTGCGAAGTTCTGCGGCCTGAGCAATGACCAGAACTCAGGACTTGACGTGGGGTGAGTAACAAGGATTGTGATATTATATATTTTATCTTAAACTATACGCATACATCTGTATCACAATGTATCTTAAACCATACATATATATATATATATGTTCTCTTAAACTATACTATTCCATCAGTATCCAGATATGATGGACCATGATGGACCCACCCAGGACCAGTGAGATGGGCCGAATCAATCACAGGAGTACCCTGTCGTCTATTGTGTGAAAAAAGAACGGAACAACCCAAACCGCGGACGCCTCATCCTCACCTCAACCTCCCTTCTGGCGCCCGCGAACCACACCCGGGTGCGCGCGCGGCCCAGGGAGAAGACTCCAAGCCCCAGCCCCAAGAGGAGGATCGACCGACAGAGGTCGAGGGGCCGTTGGGCCTGGTGGGGGGGGGCACAGATGGTGAGGTGCAGTCACGGTGTGCGACCCTCGTAGGGGTGGAAGAGGGACGCGACCTCGTGGGTTTTTGGGCTCCAATTGCATGGTCTTTGATGACGAAGATAGGTTCAGGGTTTATAGGGTTGTTGTAAAGTTTTTGTGGGCTGGAATTGAGAGCCTCACCCAGCTATATCCACGAGTTTTTGGTGCCCAGAATCCCTGTTCTCGGCCTTGAACGTGCCAGTTTGATGAGGAGCTAGACTGTTTGGTGATGGAAACATGATAAATTAAATACGCACCTCGGAAAATGGGTAGTACCTTTTTCTTGGGTCATGTCCCATGTTCTAAGGTACTGGATCAGTCGGGTATATATATATATACATACATATATCCCTACAAGTCCAAAGACCCCCGTTCCAGTCGGCCATGGGATCTGAAGAGATCCATGGTGTGGAGACACCGCGGCGACACCGTGGCGTGGTCTGTTCAAGAAGGAACCACTTGGGGGCCAGTACCAGGTGTTCACATACCAAAACCAGGTGGTTTTTGGGCTGGTTTGTGGTGCCCCTGGTAGTAAGGAACCAGAAACGGCGCGGGTCCCGGATGCCGGGTCGATCGTTCACTGTGTATGTGTCAGCCCCGCAGGTTAGAGCTCATCGCCTTACCTCGCCGGGAGGCCTAGCGGCCGGAGCGGCTTTTTTTTCAGAATCTACTGGTCGAGGCCGGTAGAACGGATGTGAAGCAAGAGCCATCCAGCTGCAATCGCCTCATCTCATGGAAGAGAGAGGTCATCTAAGGAGTTCAGGAGAGCTCAGCCATGCTCCGCAGAGGTCCTGCTTGAGGATCATGGATATTGTGGACTCAGGTTCTTTCGTTCGTGACCGAACTTGATCCCTTTGTTGGTTCGGTCGCAAATAGGCCCGTTTGAAAGGTCAATATATATAGTGAGCGACTCCAAAGTTCGATCGCAATCTGAAGAAGCTGGTCCAAAGATGATCAAAATCAAAACACGATCCTCTTCGGCTCTGAGGTTCCCACCCAAAAGGCAAATGCTGTTGCTTCCTGTCCCCCAAACTGCGCTGCAAGGGCAATCGCCTCGGCCAGACCCGGCCCCAAGTTCTCACCTGCTCGATCGCTCACACAGCTGAGCGGATGGCTTCCTCACACGGGTGAGTTATGGTTTCCGTCCAAGCCCACGTCCTCCCTGGCGTCGAGTGACGCGAGACACTCGCCGTGATCAGCTGGTCCTGAGGCGAGCTGCCGCCGCCGCCGAAGCCGCCGGAGCCCATCAAGGCTCGACCAGCGCCAGCCCGGCCGCAGGCCGTGGCCACCAGCGCCTCTGAGGTGGGTGGACCGGCTTGGTGCATGAGATGGGAGGGGAGCAGACAGGTAGTCCGTAGCCATTTTGGCTCAAGCGCTCTGACCGCATCAAGTACTGTAGCATTTTTCGGTGTTTGTGCGCGCGCTTCGCCATGTCGAGCACAGAAGCGGAAGTTCGAGCAGCCTTTGCTGATGCTGCCAGGATGGTCACCGTGGCAGACGAGGCGAATCCCACCCCCGAGGAACGCCTCGGAGCTCCTCTCACGAAGAACATGTGTGACTTGCTAGCCACATTGGCTACCAACGACGACGACGTCGTTTTCGACGGCTACGAGTGTCGGGCTCGAGCAAGATCTCAAAATCAGGATTTGCCAAGATTTGACAGTGCCTACCAATTTGGCATGGCTGAAGGCCAAGAATGAAGATCGCTCAGAAGCTGAAGGACCTGCCAAGTCCTTAGGAAATGTCACAGCTGGCAAGGCCACAGAGGCCCGTGATGTGCCTGAACATCCTTTGCCCGAAGGGAAGTGGATGCGTTCTCTCAGCATGGCCGAGAAGCTGAAGATGCTGCTCCCACTGGCTATGAGGGGCGCCGCGCTGGACGCCAGCTTTACCAGGGAAGCACTCTTGGCGGAACTCGGCCCAGGGGCACGATACATCAATGCCAAGGTCCTCGCGATTGCTTTCTTGCTGAGATCCATGACCGTGCTGCTGCACGTGTTCAACAGCCGAAGCTCAAGCGACATCGTGTTTGTCGACAGTGAGGAGGCCAAGAGGACTTTCATGGCAGCTCCCACCACTGGAGTGCAGCCCAACTACATGGACGCGGTCTCAGACCCCACGCTTCGGAGCTCAGTGCTATTTTTGGTCACCATGGGTGTCCATCTCAGGACTCGCCACCTATGCGGTGGCGATGAGCTCAGTCGCAGGATGGCTGCTTGCACATTCAAGGCCTTTGGATTTCCCAACAAGCCATCGGGTGACAGCAGGTGTCGCTGAATGGGTGAGGGCAATGTCCACCATCTTTTATTTAACCAGGCTAACGCCTGGCAGCCGCCGACCCCCAGGGAAGTGGATGGCCTAGGTTTAATGGGTTAAGAGATGTTAAGAGCTTTTTCAAAAAATCGGGGAACCAAAAAAAACAGCACGGAACCCCTAGAGACATGATCTGTCACTGCATCACCAAAGTAGGCAGAAGAGAGCGCGGCAAATGGGTTAGCATTTTTCTTTGAAAATCTGGGAACCCAAAAAACAACACGGAGCCCCTAGACAACGACAGAACTATCTAGAAAAACCAGAGAAAATCCTTGAAAAACACTCGCAAAAGGCATGAAAGGCATGAGTAAAGCTTAGAAAAACCTTAGAAAATCATAGAAAGAAAATCCTAGAAATCCAGCGGAAAACGTTTGCAAATGGAGGAAAATGGGTTAGCACTTTTCTTTACAAATCTGGGAACCCAAAAAACAACACGGAGCCTTTACAAGTACCTAGAGAAACCAGAGGAAATGCTGGAAAACACCCTCGCAAAAGGTCTGAAGGGCATGAGTAAGACTTACAAAAACCTTTGAAAATCCTAGAATTCCAGCGGAAAACGTTACAAAATCTAGGAAAAACCAAGGGCACTGGCAGGGACCAGGCCGCGACCAGCGCGGGATTCGAGCCCGGGACCATTTAGGGACCGTGCTTATTTTCCCGCGCGGGTGGAGAGGGTGCCCCAATCCCCAGTAAGAAGAAAACCAATACATTTGGAGAAATCTTGGACAAATCTTGGCTACTCGTTGCAACAAGGCTCCGGAGGGGTAGGGGAGGTATAGCCTAGCTTAGCCTTAGCCTTAATCATAGCCTTAGCCTTCATCAACAGTCACGCCTGACCCCACGAGTGGGGTCGGCGGATTTTTCGCTGCATGGGGTAGACGCTGCAACTCCCGCAACTCAACATCAACCGAGGCTACAACCTCCATTGCCTCATGGGGCCGGTTTTGGCGGATTCGTTCGGTTATCCTTCTCGTACGCGGGATCTGCTGCCCTGGCTTTATGCGTGAGGTTCATCACGAGCCTCATATAGCAACCGGAGAAGCAGTGCTTCTCCCGGACGCTCAGTCGTTCCTGGTGCTCTTCAGCCTCCACAAGCAAATGCGCCTATTGGGCGCCGTGGCCTCGTGTGAGGTATATCTCGGATTTGCCAGCGCAGATTATGCGTGGAGGTCGGAATCATGTGACATGGTGCTCTCCATGTTGAAAACGTACCACGCCGTGACAGGCGGATGTTCAACATTGGCCTCGTCACCACGCGTCGTGGCTGCGGACGAGGCACCTGGCTGCGGACGAGGCACCTGGGAACTTTAAAAGTCTCCTAGAATCAATGGTGGTGAAGCACGGCGAAGAGGAGATGGTGGCGCTGTATAACCTCGTCGCCGGCGCCGGCGCAAACGATGGCGCCAAGCTCATGGCGCGCATCATTGCTGCCTTCAAAGGGAAAACGCTTGACAATATCGAGATTGGGAGCGGTGGTGCCGTGAGGGTCACTGAGGTGGGGGAAGACGCACCTATCACAGTGGGGGAGTTCAAGGAGGACGAATTCAAGTCCATCCTCGACGAGACGCGGAAGCGGCGCAGCAGATGCAAGGGACTGCGCCTAACAAAGCACCTTGCATCTGGGAAGCAGAGCCTGATCAGCTCTGTGTACCTGCAACGATTTAATCGGTTAAACTGTTGCACAAGCTGTCTACTACGGTGTTTTGCAGTCAAGGTCCAATACACTGAAGACAACGTGTTACAACACCTTTGAACGGACTTTTCACCTTGCGGTTTGCGCTTCTCGCCGTTCTTTCAAGTCAGGGGAACTTCATTCTGATACTAGCTCTTGCGAGCAACAATCTAAGTGTGTGTGTGTTTTGGTTCTGATTCGAGGTTTTCCTGGTACTTTCATGATGTTGATTCCTCGATAGAATTGATATGAATTGGTCACTTGCTGTATTGCTGGCAGGCTCTTTTTGATGACTCACAAAGCCACTGAGTTTCAGTCCGCAGAATTTCAGTCTACAGAAACACATGGCGAAAGAGTTTTTTTCCAGCCCAATTGCACTGAACGGGACTTGTCACGCATTTCCTCCCCTGCCAAAATGGAACCGCGTCGCCTGCGCCAGCCTGTGCTTCACCCTGGGGCAGCCGCATTCTTGGCTCCGCCGCATGGATGCTCAGAGAAAGCTTTGATCATCAAGCTGGTATAGAATGAGGATAATCTTGACATTGTTTGCTAGAACCTGTTTTTCTGCGTACTGATTTGAAAGCGGTTTGCCACACGCCGGCCTAAGTAAAAAAAACCAAAGGAAACAGGGCAAGTAAAGTTAAATTAGAGGCCATCGCTAGAAGTTGGAGGCCATCGCCCAAGTTTGGAGGCCATCGCTAGTAGGTTAGACGCACAAGCTGAAAGCGACGCAAAGCAACAAGGTTAGAGGTCATCGCTAATGGGTTGGAGGCCAGCGCAACAAGTTTACAGCAAGCACCTGTGCCCACCCCAACTCTGCAGACTGAATAGGAATGCATCCAGTCGAGCAGAGCGGCCGCGCCGGCCCCAAGGGCAACCGGCATATAAACTACTAGAAGGACACCAAAAATAGGAAGAGGCCATAGCAACAAGGTTGGAGGCCTGCGCTACAGGTTAGGAGGCCCACAAGACACAAAGCTGCAAAAACAAAAAGAAACTAAACAAACAAAAACAACACCAAAAAAACAAAGAAAATCTGGATTGTGACTCCAAGGGTTGCCCTGCAACATCGTGGTACACTTCAAGATTTGCGCGTGTCATTCCTTCAACAAAAACCCCAAAGGATCCCTTTGACTCCAAGGGGTACACACGCACGCCTCCCCGAGGGGAGGCGAAGAACTAAGGCGAATGCGCACGTGCGCGCGTCGCACGGACAAAAGGATGAAGACATGAAAAGAGGACAGACAGATAAAGTGTACGTAAATGACAAACAATGAAACCCACCAAGTGCACAGGGACAAACAATGATACCCACCTCATTATCAAGCCTGGGCGACCTGAAACCTGGGTTGAAAGTACGTGAAGATGTGCGCGTGCACACTAAGGCCGGGACCGATGTGTGCTTAAAAGAAAGAAGGAGTGAAATGCCAAGACATGAAGACAGGAGGACATGAAAGAAAAGAGGAAAACAAATGTATGTAAAGGGGGAAAGATGAAAAGGGAACCAAGTGGAGGGGACGAACCGATGAAGCCAGACCTCATTGAAAACCTGTTGCAACGCCTCTTTTGTGTGTGAAAGCAACGCGCGCGAGGGAGGGAGGGGTAGGGAGAGAGGAGAGGAAAGAAAAAAACAAAAGGAAAGGAAAGGAAAAGAAGGTGTTCCCAGCTACGACACAAGCGTCCAAGGACACACCAGGAGAAGAAGGGTCCCAGCTATGACGAAAGCATCCAGGGACACCCAAGTAAGATGGAACGGGAAAAGAGAGAGGAGGAAGGAAAAGGAATTGAACAGGTGTTCCCAGCTACGAACAAGCGTCCAGGGACACACCAGGGAGAGGGGTGTACCTGAGTGTACATTCAAGAACATCCCCCCCCAAAAAAAAGGGAAGGAGGAGGGAAGGTAAGGGGAGAGAGGGGGGTTAAGGTCCCGACAGACTGAGATTTCCTGTTTGTCAGACCCATTGTTTTCTGTGTGCAAGTCTGAACTGCGAGGAAAGGAGGCCCAAACACAACTCCAAGTTGTTGTGAGAAAAGGGTTTGCAAATCCTCTTGGAGTTTGGTTGTGATACTTTTGTTATTGGGTGCATCTGATCGGAAATAGAGCTGATGTTGGGAAAGACCATGTGAGGCATGTGGTTTCAGGTGTTTCAGGTTCTCGTGTATTGCAACTTCAGTGGGCTCCTGTTGATCAGAATCTTTGTTGTACTCTTCAGGTTGGCAAGGCAAATCAAGGCAAAAGAAGCCAAGGAACAAGGGGTAGGCAACATATTTGGATTGCAATCAAACGTGGATAGCATTGTTGGATTCATTTCAGAGTCCTGCAGTTTGTCGCGTACATTTTTTCGAACCTGTTACGCTATGTCAGGTTATTTTGCAATTCAGGTCCATGCAGTGGATGGGAGGATAGGACTATACGAGATAGTGGGAGCAGATAGGGGCAACATATTCCAATGATGTTTGGAAGGTCACAGACCGCAAAACTGATTATAAACTCTTCACCACCTGCAGGTTATTTCTGCCATCCAGGTCCATCCAGTCGAAAATATTCCTATCCTGTTTGGGTGGTCACATACCCAAGGAATAATTGTGGGCCGATCCCCTTGGGCGACTGTTCGCTTGGATCTGCGAGCGTTGGATGACCTGTGGAGATACAGACAGATACAAGAAATATGTTCAAAGATTTGCAGATGACATCGTCGACAGGTGAACTGTAACACATTCGGTGGGGCACCTGGTTTTTCAAGTTTTCCTCCATCGTGTTTTATTAACTTGTTGCCATAAATTAATCCACCTATGGCAGGAGTCCTTGGATCAATTTCAGACATGTATGTGAATGTATAGCAGATCAATATCGATAATTATGTAATCCCCAGGGAGTTTGCACGGTACTGGTACCCCTGGGTACCCCCCTTTCACGGAGCGTCCAGACGCATGTCCCATTGATCTAAACCCAAACACTCCATCTTTGGCATATTTGTCTACATTAGGGTGGTTTCAGGGGTAGTAAGTATTCCATACATGGAGCGCTTGGGACAGGGGAAGACCGTTTCGTGTCGCAGAACTCTCTTCGGGTCGATGCCCAGGCGACGGAAGGTGGTGAAGCTCACCCCTCAGCGGTCCATGCTGCAGGAGACGCCCAGTAGGGTCGGCTGGATGGAGCCCAGTGGGTAGCTCTTCAGGCTTCGGGAGGAAGTTCCTTCGTAGCACCTAAAGTAGAAAAGGATATGAAAGGATCACTATATCCTTCAATAGGTCCTGCTTCAAGGTTTTAATTGGCGGTTCTTTGTTTAGCTCAGAAAACAGACTCTATTTGAACATCTGATGCTGAACACGCTTTTGGAAGAACAGTTCAGGGCCCGCATTGTATCTGATACATGCAACTGGCGACAGGCCACAGGCTATACAAAGGGGGTCCATCGAATCCAGGCCTATTCTTCTAGTCTAAATAGTCTTTGAGCAAAAGGAACGTGGCAGTCCAAACCCCCTGCGTTCTGCAGGGTCCAAACTCTCCAGTTCGGTCCAATGATTGTCCTAAGCCACTTGCCCTGTGGATCCACTGCCACCCTCTCGAAGACCAGCGATTCGCACCGACTCGGTCGGCGTGTTCGATCGGCTCCGGTAGTCCGGTCGGTCCGGTGTCGTTTGGGGAGATTGGCAACACAAGCTTCTGTATAGGTCGGAGAACCAGAATGAAACCCTTTGATCTTTCATCCAAACATGTTCAAGAGGACATCATTCCCAATCCGTGGGAGAGTTTCCTGAACGAGTGACGCTTGAAACAATTGAACATCAGTTTCCTTATTTTTAAATTTGACCAAGCTTGATCTCCCAGTGTGAGGTCACAAACAGGCCTGTAAGTTAGATCACCAGCTGGCACTCCAGTTTGAGGTCACGAACTGAAGAAGCTAAATACATTATATATAGCTAGGGGGTGTCCTATTACTTGTAACATTTTGTAACAGCCGGTAAGCAATTATCATCAACTACAGTATCACTATTTTAGAGGAATGCCTGCAACTGAACCATCATCATCCACTGTTACAGGGAATAGGATACACCAGTGGATACACACACAATATATATATATATATGTTCTATAATATATATATAGAGATTTATACAATTCCTAGGCCTCCAGTCGTACCGAACCGCTTCGGTTTGGTGGGACTGGGGTGGGTGCCAGGAGGGTCTAAAGACCTGAAGAGGTACGACTGGAGGTGCAGGGAATATATATATATATACAGTCCCATAGGGTCCCAAACCCATCCTCAGGAGGTACTCTCCTTGGGTTTCTTGCAGTACTCAAACATATATGTACTCAAACTCTTGCAGTTTTTCCATGGGATTCTTCTGCATCATGATTGTTTATTTTTTCCAAGGCCTGGCCTGGGCTCCCTGCTCTTCAAAGCCTCCCTGGTGCGCTCCATTTCGATGCGCGACGAGAAACAGTGCACTCTGACGACGTATGCGGGGCCAAAGGGGTTCGTATGTGGACGCTGAAGGATCTTAAGAACCCCTTTGGAGTCTTTGGAGTTTGGTCTTACACAACGAACGAGCGACATGGAAGCCGATGGGTTCGGTCGTTGGTTCTTTTGGAGAACAGAACGGCAAGGACACCGAACCTGAGGTTTGGTGGGACTGGGGTGGGTGCCAGGAGGGTCCAGTCATACCTGAGGAGGTACGACTGGAGGTGTAGGGGACAATAAGGCTAAAAACTGTCCGAGATGGTCCATGTCGTTTCTGGAGCACTTCCATTGATGTGCGAGCGCATTCCCATTCACCTTTCCAGGGGACCAAATCGCAACAGGAGACTACGAGGACCAAATCCAGCACAATCTCAGAATGATGTTCAATCAACTACAGCGGTTTCACAGGTTCGATGGCACAGACCCCACGATGTCTTGAACAGATTGGGGATTGCGCCATCTACTCTGAAACCGCTGTAGCGGTGCCAGTGTGAACGTGCTTCCACTCGGAACATGTTGGTTGGTTTAATAGAGTGTTGCAGAATCACGGCCTCGAACCGCTAAGAGCCCACTCAAAACAAAGGAAACAAAGAAGCAGGAAAACCAAACACTTGATGATACTTGATGCATGGCATATCTACAATATTCCTGAGGTGTACCCACCTAGGCCCTGAACTGGTTTTTGAGTGAAGCCCTATAAAACTTACTCCACCCTTGCTTCCGAGGGTACAGGTATGGAATGTTTAATCCGCTTGGTCTCCACACGGATCCGGTGGCTTTTCTCCCGCGGTCCATCAAGTTGGTCGCGACCTTGTCGCGCTGCTAAACTTGGGCCCTGCCCCCCC